TGATAACGATACCAACAAGAAAATATTTCAATGACTGGCCAAAAACATTTTCCACACATATTAACTGACAATGATTGATGGAAACACAGAAACATGTAATTGCTGGTAACTAAAGGTTTTCAACGTTCTATACAAAATAAAATATTTTTTGGTAATTCTAAGGAAAGTGCTTTATACATTTTCTTAAAATACATTCATGCTTACCTTGGATTAGTAACAATAAATTGTTACAGAATAGTTGTGAATAATGATCTCTCCACAGAGCGATATTTTAAATTTAACACAAGTCACAAGTGCATTATTTTGTGGCCATAACTGAGTGGAGTAATTAGCATTGTCGTTAAGTTGTATGTTGTTAAGCAGTCGTACTTTCGTTGTGCATTTCATATATAAATTCTAGATATAAGTACTATATCAGGGCCATAGTGACCACTCTTTTTAATGTCGTAACGTCCAAAACCACGACCATAATGTATATTATTTACCGTGCTGGACCGAAACTTCCAACTACCATTATTGTGGGGCATGTGGCCACGTCGCATGGGCAGCCGAGACAGCTAAAGTGCCTAATCGAGGCAAACGTCATGAAGACTACACCATTGCCGAACCACTCAATTACTGAATAACAATCGTAATAGAAAATTAAACTGGAAAGGAAATTGAAACATAATAAAAGAAAAAATACGTCATGATATATCGAAAATCACGGGTATTTTCAACTTTCACTTTCAGACAAGTTCAAGTTGGTCATGATTGATACTACATATGCGTCATTCCTTCACTTTTCTTACCATTAAATTTGCGAAATGTTGACTGAACGTTCCGTGGGTGGTAATGAAGCACTGAATCTGCGAAGGTGGGAACTAAGAACTATAACCAAGTCCAACACATTCTCTACGAATGAACCGCCGCCATGTTGAAAATGTGCAACAGCGCCCCCACACTCCATTAATGATTTGCATAAATCTCCCGTTGTATGGATTTTATCAAAACATCTCAAAGGATATAAGTAAATTTTCAAGCGTTATCTAAAGTGCGTAAATAAGAACTAATGTGTTTCCAATACTTTCAATCTCGTATTTACGAAATATATGTGAATTATTACAGGGCCTCTAGTTTTGATAAATATGTCAAAGGTGCAATATGTGAGCCCTCTGATTAAATACAAACCATTCAATTTTCTGCTAGAAACTGATGTCACAATTGCGGAATTTGCTGGGCGCGGTTGCTGTTATCAACAACAATAAATATGACATCATAGATCTGAAGCTTTAAAGCGGGGCAGTCGTCACCTGCGCATGCGTCAGATGGCCAAAGCGTGTCACAAACAAGCGTCTGTCCATGAGCCTTTGCGTTATAGAGTGTGATGTGTCGTCGCTTGGGACTCAAATCCCGCGCGTGCGCAGGTGACGACCCCCCCCCCCCCAGCTTTAAGGTAGAATGATACACGAAAGTAAAAATATTGTTCAGTGACATGTAGTAAAACAGATATGTTGTGTCTTACAAGGTACCTCTTCATGTCTAGAAGTATTACAGAATTGACAATATTTTTATTGGGTTTGGACGAGGAAATGTGTTTTTATTGCGGTCTATGGAAACCGCTGCTAAAATGACATTTTATGCATTATATCAATAGTGTTTTTCAGTGAACCAAAGAGGTTCACATACTATAAGTATCCTTGGGAGGAAAAGATGTATAATGATAAGGTGATTACAAGGATACCGAAAATGATGACAGCCTGAGTACAGCTTAAGTATTGACCGAGGTCGGGCGCAGCGGAGGACGATGCGACTGCGTACTGTCTGAGTGCATACTTTGCGGTATCCTTGTAATAACCTTATTATTATTATACATCTTTTCCTCTCAAGGATACATCATGGGAATGCCGAAATTAACAAAAGTTTAGAAAAGATTTAGCAAACTTCTTTGTGTGGAGTCCGGAATTCGCTTGAAAATACTCAGTGCAATATCGCAAAATTACGGCACGCTGTAACCATGGAGGTTTTACCTCCATTCTGTAACTTATGGCGTTACGGTGACAGATGTATAATAGTATTGGCTAATACTAAAATGAATAATTGTAGACATAATTTGACACGGCATATTGTCATTGCTGTATGCGCACGAGTGGCATTCTATATTAAATTGGTGGAGCTCAGATAAAAAAAAAAGTGGGTTATCACTGGTTGGTGCTCTATTTCAAGACACATAGTCTTCTATTTTAGCTGCACTGTGATTTTCATTGCAATAACTAGTTCACCCTATAAATAGCAACTACATAGGACTAGATCCCATCCTGAGTCGTCATGTGTGCTGATGTGTTTCAGCAGTGGATACAATTCAATGTTTAAACACTCACGTTATACTGGCACTATATACTAGTATATTAGCAGAATAGCTATCCAGTTACTGATATACGATGTACGGGTTTAAATTGTAGTCGATTGTTTTCCCAGTGTGGTTGGAAAGCATCGATTCACATAGCTATTCATCGGCGAGCGAAGATTTCCTTACAGCATCGATCGAGATCTAGCCTGACATATAGGCGTGAGTGGCGCCTTCGCCTGCCGAAAGACATCAGACCTCACTGTGTTGGGTTTGAAGCACCGCGGAGGGCGCAACTCACGCGACCATGTCAGGTTAATCGAGATTCTGTGCTTATATACACCCTACCCCAGTGTTCATGTACTAAAGGAAAAGCCAAGGCTAACAACACAATGCTCCGAGATGAAAGAGTTCGGCAAATGTAAGAAATGCAATTTACAGTTATTTTTTCAACTTTTCTTCAGTTTATGCAGTCCACCATCTTGATTCTTCAGCAAAGGATTATTGGTAAGGTATGACATCATATTCGTTGTTGTGAGACATTGAGAAATAAAAATAAGTGATGGGCAGCAAATATGAGATAAAGAGTTAGAAACCAAATTTAAGTAAATTATACTATCCATTGTTACGATCAGTACATTCACGTTGAAATTCTCAGTGCTACAGGATTCAAGGAAACACGTTCTGCCAACTACCGGGCAAAGTAATTTCTTTACATGCAATACATAAATCAGAAAAGGTTTTCAATTAAGAAAATCTATCATTACTTATCGGTCATCAGGGTAAAGTAAAACGCTTAGTTTTTGATTTTGATGTATTCTTCGAGATTATTCCCACATTTTCGTTTTTGTTTACAGCTCCTTATTCTCCGAGTAGTGGCATCCGATTCCCAACATTTTTGTTTTTGTTTACAGCTTCTTATTCTCCGAGTAGTGGCATCCGATTCCCAACACTTTCGACCAGGCCGAAATGTCGCTTGGGTCATCGCCGGGATTGGACCGTGCAGTACGAATCTAAATGATATACTTAGTCCAGCGGCGTTACAGCGCCACCACTCATCATAACATAACAACTTGGCGACGACGACTACTAGTATATCGTCGATTGAGCAAATACATTCTTTTTATCATACCTTAGAAACTAACCGAGCCCATGTGACATATTTCCCATAGTAAATGCATTATTTTATTGTAATATTACATACTAAATTCTAACGATATTGTTG